AAGAATATATAATAAGAGTTTCAATATTACAACACTCAAAATACAATTTATGTAATAGTATTTTCAAACATTTCAAATTTTAGAGCTAGTTCTTCCATCGTTAAATCAGTCCGTATTAAAATACCTATTCCTTGTCCATCTCTAGGTGCATAATCATCAAAGTCAATATCCATATAAGACGGGTTCATTCTGTCAACAAAATACATTTCAGAATTATGTTAATACATAAGTATTTCACCTGAAACAACACCACTTACTTGAGATAATTTTCTTTTATCCAACCTCACTTTCCTTTCAACATTTACAAGTCTTTCGAACATTTTGTGTTGAATGTCCCGTGTTCTGCGGAGGAACCCACTCTTTAAAGAAGCAGGTTAGCCTGAAAATAATATGTATATTATCAAGTAGATTTCACTAAACGCAAAATAGCTTTCAGTGGAGACCTGACTCACCTGTTATAAAATGTCTGCTGCAGAATTTTTGATCTTCGAATCCGTAAGATCATCTCACTTGATTGCAGCTAACCATAGGGCTCTTCGCTTTCTGGATAACTCTGTTGTTAACTGTTGTTACGAGATCCACAGCCAATCACAATGCACGTAATGAGTTTTTTTCTTTAGTTAAAGCACTAATTATTAATGAAAATTCAAAAACACAACCGAACTACGCATAGGAAATCAGAAAAAGAAAAAATAACTACTATGGTCGCATATGATAAAATACAATGTTTGCCCTACGCCGCCATATTGCATTGACAGGTCGCTGGATTGGTCTAAAGTCATAACATAACCTGAATCATACTTACGCTTCGGAAAGTTCACACAGAATGTGATGAAAATTTTGGGTATGGTAAACAGCGTCATATCAACATCAGCAATGAAATTATACATGAAAGAAAAGAAAATGTACTCACGTAATTCACTAACGTCATCACCACTACTTACCTACATATAGTTATATTATAAACAATTTCTTAAGGCGAACGACAGATGGACATTATCTGATGAATAAACTAGAAGGCTAAATGACCTAGAAGGCAGATCTTTAGAGAAGGGAGTGGGCATGTGAAGTTCAATTATAGTAAAACTAGTATGAGAGTGTCAAAACCATGAAAAATTATAAATAGAGATTCAATTGAAACATAATGAAATTAAGAATATATGGCTTAGTGACTTATAATTGATAATTTTGTTTATTCTGTGAATATGTATTTTTATTAACTCACGGAAAATGGTCATTAGATGTGTTTGCGATGTGATATGTATTACTAAATATATGAGGCAATAAAATAATAAACTCAAAACATTCCAAAATAAACATCTTATGAATGATGGTTATGAACATATAATGTATAAGCCGTTTTATAAGGAGTGGAAATATTCAGCCTTTTTTGCATTTTTGAAGTGATGTATTCAATATGACATAACTAACAACTCCCATATTCAAATATTTGTTAATTTTCTGCTTATGATAATATGGAAATGAAACATTTTTTTCTGACATTTTGAATACGTCGGTAAAAATAAATACCAAATATTTCAAGATTGAAGAAAATCATACATAACATCCCAGAACATTTTCATTTGATTGGTTATAGATATATAACATCGAAATGAAACATTTAGTTTCAGGTTTGCATTGTGGTGTCATGTTAATAGAATTGAAATATATTGCAAACAACCAAAATAAAATCTATCGAAAAGACTTCTCACACTAGAAAAAAGCTTTCGACGTGCGTTTTGCGAAACAAGATAGCTTCATCAAGAGATGAAGAAATTGAATAGATCCGGCCATAACTTGAGCTGCTGTGAAAAAACTCTTCCTCAGAATTGTATAAAAAAACTAGGATTTAGATTTGAAATAATAAACAAACGTCAAGCAATTATGGAAAGCAGAAGAATAGTGGAATTGCGTAATAAATACTTAGAACAAATATCCAAATATAGATAAGAACAACGGCAAATTTTCTATTTGGATGAAACTTGGTATGACACTCACGACACAGTTACGAAAGAGTAAACTGATGGTTTGAGAATGTGTACGCCTTACATGCCTGCAAACAAAGGATCGCGACTAATCATTGTGCATTGCGAAGGAAGTGAAAGATGGGTTCGAATTATTTGAAATTATGTGGAATAAATTTGAGGACTGCAATGTTGACTATCATAAGAACATGGAAGCTAATATTTTCGAGGAATGGTTTGAAAACACATTGATCCCAAATTTGGATGCGAATAGTGTAATAGTTCTTGACAATGCTTCCTATCATTCGTGACAGCTCATCAAAGTACCGAATGAAAATTCGAGAAAAGATGAAATACAAAGTTTTTTAATGGTTACCAATTTGTATATTGAAGATTACTTTACCAAAAACCAACTACTTGAAGTTTCACAGACAAAAACATTTGAAAAAGTGTATACTCTTGAGAGTACTGCTGAAAAGTATGGACACACCATACTGAGACGCCCCCCCTATTTTTGTGTTTTCAATCACATCGATTTGATTTGAGGAAAATTGAAACAAAGCATCAGGCGTAAAAATAATTTTCCAAAATTTTATAAGGAGGTAATAGAGCGAATTGAAGGA